ATGCATAAGGAGCTCAAACAACTCTGTAGAAAATTATATAATAATTCAACCAAAAATGGGCAAAAAATTTGAATAGATATTTCTCAAAAGAAGACATACAAATGGAAAATAGACAAAAGAAAAGGTGTTCAACATCATTTGTTATCAGAAAGATGCAAATCAAAACTACAGTGAGATATCAGTTAAATTGGCTTATATCCAAAAGATAGGCAATAACAAATGCTGGTGAGGATGTGGAAAAAAGGGAACCTCCTCATACACTGCTGGCAGGGATGTAAATTAGCAGGACCACTGTGAAAAACAGTTTGGATATTCCTCAAAAAACTAAAATTAGAGCCACCACATGGTTTAGTAATTCCATTGCTGGATATATGCCCCCGCCCGCCAAAAAAAAAGGAAATCAGTATATCAAAGAGATATCTTCACTTCCAAGTTTGTTGCAGCACTGTTTGCAATAGCTAATGTTTAAAAACAATCTAAGGCTTCATCAACAGATGAATTAATAAAGAAAATGTTGTATTTAAACACAATAGAGTACTATTCTACCATTAAAAAAAAGTAAGATCCTGTTATTTGCAACAACATGGGTGGAACTTAAGATAATTCTGTTAAGCCAGACAGAAAGACAAACATCCCATGTTCTCACTTATTTGTGGGATTTAAAATTCAAAACAATTGACTCATGGGCATAGAGCGTAGAATGATGGTAACCAGAGGCTTGGAATAGTGGAAGGAGGGCTTGAGGGAAGGTAGGAATGGTTAACAAGCACAAAAATACAGTTACAAAAAATGAATAAGACCTATACTATTAGATAGCACAACACGGTGAGTATAGTCAATAATAACTTACCTGTACATTTTAAAATAACTAAAAGAGTGTAATTAGATTGCTTGTGATACAAAGGATAAATGCTTCAGGGGACTGATACCCCATTATCCATGACATGATTATTTCAAATTTCATGCCTGTATCCAAACATAACCACAAAACTTAAAAAACTCTCAGCACCCCACAGTCACTATGAACGGTTTCACAGATCACTTCAAAAATATCAGCCAGATGCAATATCATGCTTGTAATCCCAGTACTGTGGGAGGCCTTGGCAGGTGGGTGGCTTGAGCTAAGGAGTGTGAGACCAGCCTGGGCAACATGGCAAAACCCCATCTTTACAAAAAAATACAAAAACTAGCTGGGTGTGGTGATGCAAGCCTATAGTTTCAGCCACTTAGGAGGCTGAGAGGGGAGGATCACTTGGTCCCAGCAAGCAGAGCTTGCAGTGAGCTGCATCACTGCACTCAAGCCTGGACAACAGAGCAAGACCTGTCTCAAAAAAAAGAACAAACAACCAAAAAACCTTCTCTGTATATAGAGGTACATATAAGTAAAGATTTCCTTTCCACAAATGATAGTATAGTAGTCACACTATTCTGAACCTTGCTTCTTTAAGTCTTTTTTGCAGCAGCAGAGCAATTATCTATTGCATTTAAGTATATTTAGACCACAACTCTTTAGAATATTCTGGAAGAGCTCACACCTATAATTCCAGCGCTTTAGGAGGCCAAGAAGACTGCTTGAGGCTAGAAGTGCAAGGTCAACCTGAGCAACATAGTGACACCTAATCTCTACAAAAAAAATTTTTTAAATAGCCTGGTGTGGTGGCACAGCTATAGTCCCAGCTGCTTGGGAGGCTGAGGCAGGAAGGATACCTTGAGCACAGGAGCAGGAGATTAAAGTGAGTTATGATCACAGCACTGCACTCTGACCTATGTGACAGAGTGAGAAACTGTCTCTTAAAAAAAAAGAGAGAATAATATTCTGGAATAGTTGTGTAAAAGGATAGTAACCTTCCACGTTTCCTTAAAGATTAAAAATTATGATCACCTTAATGTGCATTTTTATTTTTAAAAAATGATAAAGAATTTTGTTCCAAAGTCATAACAGATTGGTGATAAATAGTTTTGTGATAATAGTTTTGCAATAATTGGCTTTGAAAAGTCTTTTTTTACTATAATAGTATATAAAGAAAGGATTCCTCAGTGATATTTTTACACCAAAATTGATTTTCCTGTCATCCAAAAGGCAAAGGTGTTTAAGCCAGTAGACTTCAGTCAATAAACTAAAGCAAGATAACAGTCAAGAGTGACGCTGAGGTAGGATGTGAAACTCAAATAGCTTGGAATAAAGTCTTGGCCACCTAACCTAACACAACCAGCTTAGAGAAGACTTAAGCTGATGCCCCATCAGTAAGTGATATAAGCAGGGGTTTAGGGTTAAGGAGTGTTGATTCCCCATGGACCTGATTGTTTAAAAAGACTTTTGTAAATCTTCAAAGTCCTCCTCATAAGTCTTTGACCTCTAGTGCTCTTACCCTGTCAGTTACACAAAACCATGGGCTCTGGGATAAGCCATCTACTATCATGTCTGCTTATACAGTAGACATCTGGTTAATGTATGTTGGCCACATGAATGAATAAAAGGAAAATGCTAGTATCTGGACACCTGACAGCAATTTTAACAAAGATGAACATTGTCCTCACTGCTAATATTTACTACAATCTCATGCATTTGATTTTATGGGCCTTCTGGGAGAAACAGGCCTAATATGTTGTTAACTCAGATGAATAGCTGCCTAAAGAACGCTATTAGATTCATAGCAAAGAATTTTCAGTGTGGCTTGGAGCTAAGAAACGGAGGCATAATGGGATTTTCCACCCAATATCTTTATTTTCAACAAATAAAATATATGTGATTATGATAGCACAGGAATTTGGAGCAACATATACAAAAGCAGTAGTATATAGCTTCCGATTTGATCATTGATATTAGGCCATATGTGTAATAAATATTAAGACTACCAACTCAGCAAAAGTCTGGAAATTGCTTTTAGTTTCCTATCTCTGTATATCATCTCTACTTCTAGTCCTTATTTCACATAATCTAAAGCTTTTTCTCTACTCACCCTAGAGTTATTTCTAAATTCTAAGAGCCTATATAATGTCATGATGTCAATGGGTTTTGCTGGGATGGAGGAGTAAGTGAGAGAGAAATAGTCTTTTTATCATCATCTCTCCACAGGGACCTATGATGATGTGTGTATCAACTAACCTGGTCTGTCAAAAAAAAAAACACAGATTGCTACTGTGTCCCCAGTTCTGAAACTTATTTTGAACCTCAATCTGAGAATTGCCTTGTTTGTTTTGTGGTTCTGTTGTATCATCCCCTTCCTAAGACAGGGAAGTGAATTGGTCTAATATCTTGCACCCAAGGAAGGCTGTAACAGCAGTGGAGAAGAGCAGAAGAGGGAATATTCATCAGTTAATACATGAAAATAGGTTTAATCACCAATGGAAACAGAATAAGCTTTAGTTGGTTAACATATTCAAAATTTTTTGATATCTTATTTTTGCTTCTGCACAAACATCTTGAAAACTTCTTAAAGTATCAATGAAACATTTTCATAAAAGTTATAAATTTAAATAAAATCATATACAAGCTCATCACTTAGAATTAACATATGTATCACTGAAGATTTTCCCATGCATATACATGCACATACAGATACATATTTAATTGATTTTTATAAAAATTGAATCATACTGTATGTTATTATTTTGTAACTTGGTTTTTGAGGCTAGTTTCTAAAGTGATATCTAATATTTTAGAATTAGCTTGATGAAGGAAATTGTAAGATCAGTAAGTTACTACATTGAATTGTATTTGTATACCAAATACAAATTTAATGCCAAGTTTTTAGACAGCCAGTGTGTATCAATGATACACGCGTTTTTGTCTCAAAAATTAATGTATTTTTTTTTCAATTGCTCTTTAAGCAACGGTAGTTAAAATTATCTTAACAAATGTCTACTAAATATAAACAGGGTAGACCAGGATAGCGCTGTGAAGGAAGGTGTCTACCTTCATTAATTTCACTGACAAAGACTACTTAAATGCTACAATTTATGCAAGAGAAGTCCTCACAACCAGATTGGACATCTACTTCATTCTGCTGCCTCCAGCTTGCTTTGTTGCTGGAACAGTCCAAACTTTCATTTCTCTAAACTTTTGAATTAATTCCCACCATAGTCAAGACAAGATCTACAGTGAGAATATGACAGTGATTAAGAGTACTTAAGCAACGACTATCCCCCTGCGTGTAACTCTCCCTCAGCAACCACTGTAGCTCCATGTCAGCACCTTGGGGTCTTTGAAATGCAGAAGCAGTCTTGTCTCTCCTTTGTAAAAAGAGCCATGATTTTCCTCTCTATATATCTTTGACTTCCCCATGGACAAATTTTAAAAGAAAGATGAGATAATCATCTTGCCCCTGGGTATTTCTTTCTTGTTATGGTACTAAATGCCTTAGAAATTTCCAAATGGAAAAGGGCTAGCTTTAGGTTTAGGTAGAAGTACTGGCAGTATTGTTTCCTACAAGTCCAAAGGATACTCAAAAACTTGGTCCAACATCATATTGGGAAAGGATAAATAAAAAGCAGGTAATCCACTGGAGGAAACAGAAAAAGAAACGAAAAGGCAACTTAACAAATGCCCTTTCAGTTCTAAATAAGCAAGTTCTAAATAAGCAACGTCTCAATATTTCCATTTCCACATGTACATTTGTTGCCTGTTTTCATTATTATTTTTAATTTTTATTCATAGAAGTTACATTTTCAAATACATAGTTTTGGTTAAAAGACCAGAATAAATTCTTGAGGCTTAAAAAAAATCAAAATTTACAAGTAAGTCCAATTCTGATATTAAAAACCTAGTTTTTTTCCTTAGGCTTAAAAATGTTCTTAAAAAAGAATTCCTTTTAAATGTTCTTTAAAAAACGAATTCCTTTTATTTTTATTAGTTTGTAAAAGTAAGACTATGTTACCCTCAAGCTATTTCACGTATTTTAAATTTTTTAGGTTACTGCAAAAAAATCATATAAAATATAATAATAATTATGATGTATTCATTTATATAGTTAAATGACTACATAGCTACCATATGTAAAGTGTTTGCTAATGCTATTGGAAACACTAATAAGAGGAAAAATTCCAGACTTCTTTTCAAAAATTATTTGCTCTTTTAAATGGAAACAATGGCCAGTAAATAAAGGCACATATTAGAAGGAAGATAAGCAAAGATGAAACATATAGAAGATATTATAAAAACAACAAACTGGAAATGGAAAAGTGATGGGTGTCATAGCAGGAGATTGTTTCCAAGCGGAGTAGTAATTTTGTAACAATCAAAAGGTGGCTGATACCTACTCTAATGAGTACATTTTAATAAGAGATTTAATATATTATGTGGAGAATTGTGGTATTGAAATAATGTGAAAGTTTGGACAGTACCAATTATATCTGCCCTACACCAAACTGGATCTCACTTCAAAACACAAGCCATGACAAAATATTTCAGAGTTTGGGACATGTAAATAAATTCTTTGAGCACACTGGCTTAAATAGCTAATAGTAATAAGCAAATTAGCAGATTAGGCCTGTGTTTTGTCACTTTTGAAGGAAGGGACCAATCTTGAGTTTCTCTCATCCCTAATACCTCACACAGAGCTTGGCACATTATCAGAGGTCAATAGCTGATAACTGACTGATTCGTTCTTAATAGCTAGAATGTAAACTTTGTGTGAATAAGGATGGTTGCTTGTTTTCCTGTTTTGTTTACTGACAAATTCCCAGTGCTTGATGAGTACCTGATGCATAGGAGGCACTCAATAAATACTAGCTGAATAAATTTACCTACTGGTTTGTAAACTTTACTCCTACATTAGGTACTTTTTGCACATCTATAAAGTATTAGGAAATAATATTAATGGTCTTTAAATAACACAAAACACAAAACTAAATTCATCCAATCAAACCAGTTTTTAATATTTATATTAACAAATAAGGCATACCCACAAATTCTCATAACTTTTTTTCAGATCTTCTTTCCATTTTCTGGTCACTCATGAATATAAACCAGCAGACGGAAATAATCTAAAATAAATATTCATTTAGAACTGTGGAAGTCAGTTGTACAAATGGGTCATTCTTGTCATATCCAACTAAAACAGAGTTGAGAAGTAAGGAGAAAAAGCACTCAGAGCACAAAACGTTGCTGCAAAAATGTAATGCTCTACAGGCCTGGTAGCTAAAACTGCCTGCACTAACCTGAAGCAGTTTTATCTAATGAGTACTGAAACAACCTGCTGCAACTCACAGACTAATTTTGCCCACCACCTTCACTTAACCAATCAGAGCCTCCCAGTTCCTCAAAACCTTACTAGTGCCAAAGAAATTTCTCAAAGAGCAATACCTAACACATCTTTATTTATGAAAATAAAACCTCTAATCTTTTCTTCATTCTTTGGAGAGAGCACTTTCAGTTCACACCAGAGAATATTTCTCCCCAACTTACAAAGAGATATTACCAATTAAACTCTCTTTTCCACTATGCAGCAATCCTGATGGTCCTTTGGATGACCACATTTACTGAGCACATGCTTTGTATTTCTGCTTATCAAACAGAGAAGCGGAACCATTTGGAAAGAAATAGAGAAAAAAGAGATTTATTACAAGAAATTGTCATATGCAATTGTAGGGTCTGGCTAAGCAAACTTAAGTCCACAGGCCAGGCTGTCGGGAAGGGAAACACAGCAGGCTGAGATCCATGGACACTAGGTAATGCTTGTAGTCTCTGAACTCAATCAGAAATTGTGGAGGGAAAATGGCAGATAGGAGGCAAGACTAACTTATAGCTCCCACTCAGACAGACAGAGCAGTGTGTTGAAACCCACATTGTGAACTTTTGCACTAAGAACTACCACAGGAACATACCAGAAAGCTGAGAGAATCCAGACTCTTTGAAGGAGATGAATTGCTGCTGCAGGCTCTGTGGGAACCTGAGGAACTTCAAAGACAAAAAACATAAACACTTGAAAGCTCTATGACCCCACCTCCTACCTAATCTTCCCTATGCTACCTCAGCTGATGCACTCTTGAAAGAGCCACCTCCTGGCTGGAGGCCAATCAACACAAAACCAGTGCACTTAACAAAAATACAACCCAGGACCCTTACAGAGTCCACTTCACTCCCCTGCTACCTCCACTGGAGCAGCTGCTGGTATACATGGGTGTAAGACCTGAAGATGGATCACATCACATAATTCTTTGCTGGCACACCCCAGTACCAGCCAAGAGCCTGGTATATCCACTGGGTGGTTAGATACAAAAGACAAATAACAATCACTATAGTTTGACTCTAAGAAAACCCCATTCCTAGGAGAAAGAGGACAGCAACACTTCAAGGGAGCACCCCATGGAACAAAAGAATCTGAACAGTAGCCCTTGAGTCCCAGATCCTCCCTCATTGTCTACCCAACTGAGAATAAACCAGAAAAACAATTCTGATAAGACAAAAAACAAGGCTCTTTAACACCCTCAAAAGGTCACACCAGCTCCCCAGAAACAGATCCAAACCAAGATGAATTCTCTGAACTACCAGAAAAAAAAAATCTGAAGGTTAACTATTAAGCCAGTCAAGGAAGCACAAGAGCAAGGCTAGGTCCAAGGCTAGCACATGAATGGGAAAATCTCCAGTGAAATAGATAGCATAAATAAAAAACAATGACAACTTCGGGAACTGAAGGATACACTTAGAGAAATGCAAAATGTACTGGAAAGTCTTGAGAAAATAATTGAACAAGTAGAACAAAGAACTTCAGATCTCAAAAACAAGGCTTTTGAATTAACCTAATCTGATGATGGTGTAAATTAGTGCAACCATTGTTGAAGACAGAGTGTCGATCCCTCAAGGACCTAGAAATAGAAATTCCATTTGACCCAGAAATTCCGTTACTGGGGTACATATCCAAAGGATTATAAATTGTTCTATTATAAAGACACATGCACACATATGTTCATTGCAGCACTGTTTACAATAGCAAAGACTTGGAACCAACCCAAATGTCTATCAACAATAGATTGGATAAAGAAAATGTGGCACTTATACACCATGGAATACTATACAGCCATAAAAAATGATGAGTTCGTGTCCTCTGTAGGGATATGGATTTATTTGGAAACCATCATTTTCAACAAACTGACACAAGAACAGAAAACAAAACACCACATGTTCTCACTCACAGGCGGACATTGAACAATGAGAACATGTGAACACAGCATCACACACTGCAGTCAGTGGGGGGCAGGGACAGCAAGGAGTGGGGAGGGTGAAGAGGGGTAACGTGGGGAGAAATACCAGATATAGGTGATGAGGGGATGAAGGCAGCAAACCACCTTGCTATGTATGTATCTATGCAACAATCCTGCATGATCTGCACATATACCCCAGAACCTAAAGTACAATTAAAAATAAATAAATAAAAAGAAAGAAAAAAGAATTTTAAAAATGAGCAAAGCTTCCAAGAAGTTTGGGATTATGTTAAACAACCAACCTAAGAATAATTGATGTTCCTGAGGAAGAAGAGAAATCCGAAAGTCTGAAAAACATATTTGAGAAAATAATAAAGGAAAACTTCCCCAGTCTAGCCAGACATCTAGACAACCAAATACAAGAAGCTCCAAGAACACCTGGGAAATTTATTGCAAAAAGATCATCACCTATGCACAGTCATCAGGTAATCTAAAGTCAAGACATAAGACTCTTAAGAGTTATGAGGAAAAAATATTAGGTAACCTGTAAAGGAAAATCTATCACCAGATTAACAGCAGGTCTCTCAACAGAAACCCTACAAACTGGAAGGGTTTAAGGACGCCTATCATTAGCGCCCTTAAACACAACAGCAAATGATACAACGGTGAATGGTATCATTAACCTCCTTAAACACAAATGACACAATGGGGGTTCAAGACTAGCCTGGCCAACATGGTGAAACCCCATCTCTACTAAAAATACAAAAAGTTAGTTAGGTGTGGTGGTAGGTGCCTATAATACCAGCTACTTGAAAGGCTGAAGCAGGAGAATCACTTGAACCTGGAAGGCGGAGGTTGCAGTGAGCCGAGATAGCACCATTGCACTCCAGCCTGAGCAACAACAGCAAAACTCCATCTAAAAAAAAAAATGATACAATGTACTTTGGGGACTCAGAGGAAATGGTGGAGGGAGTGAGAGATAAAAGACAACACCTTGGGTACAATGAACAATGCTCAGGTTATGGGTACACCAAAATCTCAGAAATCACCACTAAAGAACTTATTCACATGACCAAACACCACCTGGTCCTCAAAATCCTACTGAATAATAATAGTAGTAAATAATTTTTTTAAAGTTGTTACTTTGAAAAAACAAAAAATAAATTTCTAATTTTCTTATCTGACATAAGGCCATCTCATGTGAGCAGACAATGAGAACACAATAATGACTACGACAAGGAGTTGGCCTTCAAAAGGCTCACAGTTTATTAGAAAAGACTCATCTGCATTTAAGTAATTACGAATAGAGGCAGCATCAAGCTCTGATTGTGATACCTTAAAGATACTGCAGTGGAAAAGAGGAAGTAATTATTAATTTTTTGTGTTCATTAAAGTTTAAATTTATTTACATCATAAATTATATCATGGCTTTATCTCACTTTCAGCATCATCTCCCAAGTCTAGCCAACTTGACCTGCTTGCCTGTCCCTGGATGAACCAAGCCATTTTATGCTTCTATGAATTACACACTTCAATAGGCTTTGTGGTCCCACCCAAATCTTATCTTGAATTGTAATCCCCAAAATCCCCATAATCCCATGTGTCAAGGGAGAAACCAGGTAGAGGTAACTGAATCTCAGGATGATTTCCCCCATGCTGTTCTCACAATAGTGAGTAAGTACTCACAAGATGTGATAGTTTCATAAGGGGCTCTTCCCCCTTAACTCGCTTACTCTTCTTCCCGCTGCCTTGTGAAGAAGGTACCCTGTTTCCCCTTCTCCTTCCACCATTATTCTAAGTTTCCTGAAGCCTCCCCAGGCAAGGTGAACTGTGAGTCAACCCTGTTTCCCTTATAAATTACTCAGACTTGGGCAGTTCTTCATAGCTGTATGAAAATAGACTACTACATGCTGCCGTAGAAAAGACAGGTAGGAATTGGATGTTAAGGCAAAAAAATAGAATTAACCTATGTGTCCAAACAGAGTACTAGAAAGGTTTTTATAATCACAGAATCTTACAGCTTGAACAACCATCACAATCATTTCTATCAATCCCTCATTTTACTAACATAGAAACTAAGAAACAGAGAAATGAATCATCTTCCCTATGATTACCTAATTTGCCTAAATAATTATCAGTAAAGAGAAGGGAACAAGAAAGCCAGATATGCCAGGATGCTATGATAAAATATTGTGATATTGTATAACACATGGAACTCTACATAAAAATTACCACAACATGCTAAAGCATACCAAACATTTTTCTTTTAACTTGTATATCTCTGCTTTGTAAGTTTTGATTGAAGCTGTGCCTCATACAAGGGAATTTTATCATTCATTGGAGTATTAAACCATTATTTGGCAATATTAAAGCATTCAGCCCAATAATTTTTATATAGGTTCTCCTTTATGAAATAAAAAGTATATTTCTAAAACTATGGGGAAAAAAACAAAAAGCTCTACATCTACACAGAAAAAATAAATACAAATTTAATTTCTTTAAAATATTTTTGATAAAGCTGATATGAAATTTTGATAAAATTAAGACAATGTCTATTGCAAAGAAGCTGCGAGTATGCGTACTTCTGTAAAAAAAACAAGCTACTATAAAAATTCTTGGTTTGTCTATATTGGAAGGATTAAATATAAAATGTTTATTTTCAGTCTCTCAGCAATACAATGATATATACTTTCAACTAAAATAGAACTAAGTTTGCAGAATGTAAGCATAATATTCCAGTTCGCAAACTAATGTTCTTTTCTTTTGTATTGTTTAAGACCATATATTTATTACTAGAATTTATTACACCCTTTCTGACAAAAGGTATGGTTCTGTTGGTCTTTGGCAAGATGTCACTCATAACATCATTTAGCTTGTTGTACTATGAGTGAATGAGAAATTGCTATCAAAATTTAAAAATGTAGCTATAGAAGCATAAAAAGGAAAATTTACATGAGAGAAAAAAATGCCTAAAGTGATATGCACATGTAATGTTGACTTCCAATGTTGAACAAATATCTTGGCAGTTATAAACCTGATTTGATCCATAATTGTAACAGGATATTTTAATATATCTTCTTAGTAAATGAGAAAGACATAACATTTGTTAGTATATAAGTTGTTTGAAAACAGTTAATAAACAATATTTAAGATACATGTACCTAAACCTTGAAGAAAAAAATACACATTGTTTTCAATCACATTGTTTTCAAACAGTTGAAAGTGAATGCAGGCAGTACATTCAACTCTAACAGGAAACACTTGCAATCATCCTGATATGAGGAAAGTGCTCACTCTCACATGAAAGGATAGAATGAGACCAGGAACTGCACAATGTGGCAAAGCAAAAAGCTCCCATCTAGTTGGTTTTGATAGAATCATTTTAGCTTAGACTCATTTTCTAATGTCAATTACAATGCTTGTGTTACACCATCTAATTCCTGATTGCCAAAAGCAATAAAATACTTGTTTAATCTGGCTTAAACGCTGCATTTGGTCTTTTACCTAAAAATCTGGAGGTTGGAGGATTCAGTGATATTCAACTATTCAGTAATATTATGGTCCTGGTGTCACACATCTGAGGTTCTCTTGGCCTTCTCCTTATGGTGATGGCTCCAACCGTCAAGTCCTGAGACATAACTGAAAGCAAGAAGAAAGAGGTGAAGTAGAACATAATTTTTTCACTTGAGTAATTCTTTCAAAAAGAAAAGGAAAAATCTTCCCAGAGGCATCCCCTTGTGGTGGATGGTAAAAATGGCCACAGTTCACTGCAGTACCTTCTATCAAGGGGTAGCCTCTATTTCCCCAATTCAAAAATTTGTGCTATCTGTGGTTTGCTTTGGTCAACAGAATACACAGATGTGATGCTGTGAGAGTTTCAAGGCTGGACCTCAAGAAACTTGTACATTTCAACTCTTGGATTATTAAATATTACAAACGTCATGTGAAAACAGCTGCCCTTGTTTGCTGGTTGGTGAGAGACACGGGGCCTAGCTATTTATTTTGCCCTGGTTGACAGATTGCCAAACACTGGACATGTGAATGTGGCCATGCTAGATTACATAACCACCCGCCGACCTGCCATATGAACACAGAATTATGAGCAAACCCAGGTCATATCAGTGGAGCCTATCTTCACCAGGAGAAACACCCAGTCAAATCATAAAACCATGAGTTAAATAAAACCTCGGTTTTTTTAAATCACTAGATTTGAGAGAGGTCTGTTATCCAGCAAGAATTGCCTAATGTATCTCCCATCAGCCTTATCCTTAAATCTATTTGGTCAGAAATCAAGCTGCATCTCCATACCTAGACCAAGTATGGAAAAAAAGGAAATTATAATGACTGAAATACACACAAAATTCTTTATCCCCTGGCACTGGACACAATGCCACCCAAATAAGAAGTGAGTTTCATTATCAAGGAAGTAAAAGGACAGGCTTTGGCTAAGCAAACAGCAGTATCATCCACTGAACATACTGAGGTCTTCAGAGAAAATGAGGGAGGGAAAATGTTAGAGGTGATTAAGAAGTCATGAACTTAACTTTGACATAGTATCAGATATGAGCCTAAATATAGAATAAGCAACTTCAACATGTGCCATAATTTAGATTCTAGAGATATTTAATTATTGGAATTTATCTTAGCCTCTAAAGGTGGTTACTCTTTGCTATTTCTAGATGATCAATTTAATTTGAATTCAATTTCTTCCAAGGACTGAGAATAAGATGTCTATTTAGATATGAATAGCTATAGATGTATTTTTGGAGGAAAGATTTAGCTATATACATCCACACATACAAATCATTTTCCTGTAGTACTTCTCTTGAAATTCAATTTCTTATTTAGCATACTTCATTTACTTGAAAATTCAATAACCTATTTAACATACTTCATTTTTTCTCTTAATCTTCACAGCGTTCAATAAATATGGTCAATTAAATTTTTATGATAAAATATAATCATCATAGTGATAAAATTTATTTGCTAGCTTTATCCTGACTCTATATGTAGCTTTATTTGTATACTACATTCTATCTTTATAAAAAAAAGTTCCTAAAAGTATGGGTAGTGAATAATTCCAAGACATAGTACTGAATAGCCTAAATAATTATAATTTAAAGTGATATCTATTTTCTCAAATTTCCCTTTTAAATTAACATGCTTTATCCACTTATTAATTTAAGTGCCAGCTGTACTATATATTAGCAAAATTGGTAGAAAGTACATTTTTAAAGAAAGAATACACTAAACATAGAAGGCCAAATATTTCACAACTGCAGTTTGAAGGAATAAAAGAGATAACCTTCATTTTATAGCATTAAAAATGAAATGAGACTGCTGCTGCATTTGGAGAACAAAAAAAAGCACTACCAAATACTCTTTTATCTTATTTTAAAACATCAGAATCGTGTATATTTATTTTAAGGAAACACAAAATGTTGAGGATCTATGAACATCAAAAGGACTTGATGATACAGACTATGTTGAATGTTAGTTTTAAAGTGTAGATGGCTGCAAGTCGATTATCCAAATAAATACAGCATGGCCTTCCTGGATAGACATCAGTTCTCATTAATGCTCATATATTAAAATATTTTGGAGTGGAGTTTAGGAGTAAAATTTAATCTGTTATAATTAGTTGCACCTGAAATCATCTTCAATTAGCTAGTGTAAATTAATCAAGGGCTTATATCCAGGTTAGTGAAGGATTCAGAATAATAAATGGTGTCTGCATTTAATTAAATGCAAAATGAAGCTGATGTGTTTAATCAACCACAAATGCCTTTTTACAGCAAATAAGTACACTCTAACACATGGGCCACGATAAATTCACTTCTAGCAAGAGAAAACTTTCAGTGTGTTTATCTGGCTGATAATGAAAATACCCTCCTACTGTAAAGGAGTTGCTTCTGCCTTTTGCTGCTTACAGTAGGATCCACACAAGACTAACCTATTATTTTGCTAAATTGAGCAAAATATGCAACTGCTTTTTCTATAAAATTACAGGTACTTTTACTCTCAGATTAGTGAAGTGAAGCTCAGAAAAATAACAATCCATACATAGTAAAATATTATCTATCTTAACAAAGATAATTAAGCAAATGATCTGAGGTGGTTAAACATCAAAAAAAGTAGAAAAGCAATACATAGAGTGAAAAATTGTCCTGCTCTTTCTCAGGAGAGGAAGATTAATGTTGCCGCAGGCTATAGTGTTCTACTTTTCCACCCCTTCTCGCTATTTATTACAAATCTAGAACTGTTCTGAGGGACTGTGCTCTCCACTCTTGATTGTCTGTCTGACTTGAGACACAGCAAATAAAACCAACCCAACACTGCTCAAGTTCATGTTTGTTCATTGGCTCTTCCTCAAATGCGATTTTCCTCTCTGCAGATTCCTCATTCTTTCCAGAGAACACAGAAAAATTCAAAACATTCATACTGATAGTTTATTCCTCTAAGACCTATATAATCTATCCTATTTTCAGTGGTATATAGACAACAGCTAAAATGACGTATTTGTTACCTCCACTTTCACATTAAATATTTATTTCCATTTAAAGTTTGTTTTTTTTTTTAAGCTATATAGTATATTTGACTTCAAATTACTACAACTGGGTGGCTTAAAACAATGGAAATGTATTCTCCGGAGGCCAGAAGTCTGAAATGAAGGATCACCAGCAGGTCAGCATTCCTCTGGAGCCTCAAAGAAAAACACGTTCTTTGCCTCTTCTAGCTAGTGCTGACTGTCATTGTTCCTTCACTATGGCCATATCACTCCAATCTCTGCCTACTCCACAGGCCACATTGCTTCCTTCTCTTCTGTCTTTCTAATATTTCTCTGCCTCGCTTTGTGTGTGTGTGTGTGTGTGTGTGTGTGTGTGTGTGTGTGTGTGTGTGTTTTGTTTTTGAGACGGAGTCTCCCTCCATTGCCCAAGCTGGAGTGCACTGACGCAGTCTCGTCTCACTGCAACGTCCGCCTCATGGGTACAAGGGATTCTCCTGCCTCAGCCTTCTGTGTTGCTGGGACTACAGGCTCTTGCCACCACAACCAGCTAGTTTTATATTTTTAGTAGAGAGGGGGTTTCACCATGTTGGCCAGCAAGGTCTCAAACTCCCAACCTTGTGACCCGCCCACCTCGGCCTCCCAAAGTTCTGGCATTACAGGGGTGAGCTACCGCACCAGGTCCTCTGCCTCACTTTTATAAAGATACCTACTGTAGAGAGCTGCCTGCCGGTCCTTTAACAATGGGTGGCACGAACTGAGGCTGGCTTTTAGCAGCTACTGTCTGCAGCAGGAGCCTGGCCGGTGTCCCCCGCTTGGCGGGGCGGGGGCTGTGACGGCCGAGGTCCCGGACTCTTCCGGCTTCCGGCTGTGAGTTGCCGCGCCCTGCTGGGCACGCCGCTAGGTCCCATGGAGCTGGAGGGGCAGTGGTGGCGAGGACAGCTGGCCGCTGACATTCACCAAGCTCTTCGCTACAAGGAGCTGAAGTTGCCCTCCTACAAAGGCCAGTCCCCTCAGTTAAGTCTCAGACGGTATTTTGCTGACTTTATTGCCTTGTGAACAATCGCTTCACGCTCTGTCCACCATCTTGCTATTTACTGGACCTGTTTATGACATCTCTATCCAGCAGCTGCATGTAGTTACGCTTTTCCTGCATTTCTCAGTGCAATCCGTAATTTATACTCAGAATTCACATTCTTAAAAAAAAAAAAATGCTGTTTCAACGGAAGACATAACTAAGAGGTCAGTGGTAGAATAAAGTCCCGTAGGTTTATTTTGGAGGGGACTGTGGCCAGGGCAGTTCTCAGGTTGTGCAGAGCAGCACTTTGTTATGTGGTAGACAGGTGTTTTAAGCAACGTTTGATTTCACCTAGTCAATCTAAGCAGTCAAAGGTAACTGATGACTAAATTTCTGTAGCTACTTTCATTAGATTCACCCTACATCTAACTGCCCTGGGGCATTTCGCTGTACTGGTATTAATTGCAAACAGCAATAGTGGTCATTACAACAAGGGCAGTGGGGGTAAAGCATTTTGTAGGAATAGCCTTTAAAAGTTAAAAAGTCATTGTAATAACTGATAAACTGTATACATTGTGCTCCTTTCTGTGGGAGAAGATTTTGTGAAGGGAAGCTTTCTGGTTTAAAAATTAGTAAGGTGTGTCTTATTGTGTGTGTGGTTTTTTTTTTAAGATAGCACTTGAATAGAAGGGAATCTGCATGGCAGATATGGGACTGCCACAATTTGCATTGAAGAAAAACTTATAAAGATATTGTGGGTATGCCCCAGGAGTCTCAGTAATCAAGCCAATGGCCTTTGTTAGGAAGGGAAGAGGGTCAATACAGTGATGGACTGATCCAGATAGCTCCCGGGGATGAATTTGGGTGGGTGGCTGCTGCCATCATGAATGCTAAGAGAAATGTCATTTCCTTAAAAAGAAAATAACTTACATTTAGAGTACATAGGGCATGATGCAGATTTAGTAGTCTGGTAGATAAAATGAAAGACAGGTAAGAACACTCACTCATGGCAGTTTTTAAGCATGAAAATTGTTTTCTGAAAATATCATCAGTTTTTAAAGAAGGCTGCTAATTGTATTTTGGTAGTTCTTACCTCAAGAAAACTTGAATTGTTTGGGGGAAAGTGGGCTCAAAAAAGCATGTATCTTTCACATTAACATCAGAACCCGGCAACCTGGAGTCCAGTTTTCAGTATTTTAACCACCAATAATGCTATGTATGTAAGATACCAGGATAGAGATCACAAGTTGAAACAACAACCAGTGCCTGTGGTAACTTAGTATCTTCTCAAATACTTTTATTGATTGGTTTATATGCCATTCTTATTATAGAAGAATATGCCTTTTAAAAAAGTTTATTAATAACACTTTCCCAATTTATATTTTAAAAAGCTAAAGAACACTGGCTTAATCATCTTTTGGGAGGGTAGAGTAAAATAATTGATTACTATTGCTGCATACCCGGCGTGGGATGGGGTGGTTGGAAAACCAGAACTATTTTTAAAACATTAGGTTTCAATATAAATACAGCTCACAACTGCTAGCTTTGCAGGGTGAGTGAGCATTGTGTCGGTTTTGTTTTCTTTGATTTATTGATTAGTTTTTAAAGTAGCCTCTTTTTCTTGAGATTACTGGACCATCATTAAATGTGTACTGCAAAGAGATTAATATGTATGAAGGGCTTTACCAAAGTCCACTAAATAAACACTACTCAAGTGTAGACTGCAAATCAAAATGTATCTGTGTTACGACATTAGTTGCAAATAGCAAGTATGGTGCTAAAGTCTATGCCAATGGAATTAGATGAGTGCTATGCACTTAATTTTAAAATAAAACTGGTTTTCAGTTAAAAAAAAAAAGATACTGTAAATTTAAGGCCTACCTAGATAATCCAGGATAAAATTCTCCCCTCAAGATCTTTAACTTAATTATATATGTCATATTAGGAAATATTTACTCTTTTACTACACAAAGTAATATTTTCAGGTTCTAGGGATTAGGACATGAGCATGTCTTTTGGAGGCCACCATTAGGCCTACTACATACAGGCATATATGTTCATTTGGATAGCCAATTTCTTTCAGATGAACTTACTCAATTGTCTGTTTACAGCCCTTCTTTCTTTGACTTCTTTGCTTCTGGATATTTCTTTCTTCTTTCTATGTTTATAAATCCCTGGATTTTTGATGCTTTAATAACCTGGCTTCCCCAGCTCCGAGAAACTTTAACATGTAGAGGAAACATCAGTGTGAAAACAAAACATAATTGTCAAAGATTCAGTCCTTTGCTTCCTGTACCTCATCTCTGCCCTACCCCATGTTCTTCATTGAGTTACTCAAAAGAATAATCCAGCCATGAGTTTTAAATTTTCAGATTATACAATCTGTAACTCTAATGCTAGCCTTTCTTTTTTACTGTCTACTGAATATGTTTGTTTTCAAGACCACCATATATATATATATACATATTATTGCACTTTAGGTTCTGGGGTACATGTGAAGAACATGCAGGATTGTTGCATAGGTACATACATAGCAATGTAGTTGGCTGCCTCCATTCTCATTACCTATATATGGCATTTCTCCCCGTGTTATCCCTCCCCAACTCCTTATCCGCCACTATCCCTCCCCTAGTCCCCACCAACTGACCTCAGTGTGTGATGCTCCCCTCCCTGTGACCTTGTGTTCTTATTGTTCAACACCCACCTATGAGTGAGAACATGTGGTGTTTGATTTTCTGTTCTTGTGTCAGTTTACTGAGAATGAGGGTTCCCAGCTTTATCCGTGTCCCTACAAAGGACACAAGCTCATCCTTTTTTAGGGCTGCATAGTATTCCATGGTGTATATGTGCCACATTTTTCCTGTCCTGTCTATCATCCATGGGCATTTGGCTTGGTTCCAAGTCTTTGCTTTTGTAAGCAGTGCTGCAATGAACATATGTGTCTATGTGTCTTTATAAGAGAACAATTTATAATCCTTCCGATATATACCCAGTAATGGGATTGTTGGGTCAAATGGATTGCTGGGTCTTCCACAATGGTTAAACTAATTTATATTCCCACCAACAGTGTAAAAATGTTCCTGTTTGTCCACATCCTCTCCAGCATCTGTTGTCTCCAGATTTTTTAAAGATTTTTGATTTGCATTTCTCTAATGACCAATGATGATGAGCATTTTTTCATATGTTTGTTGGTCTCATATATGTCTTCTTTTGAAAAGCATCTGTTCATATCCTTTGCTCACTTTTGAATGGGTTTGTTTCTTTTTTCTTGTAAATCTGTTTTAGTTCTTGTAAATTCTGGATATAAGTCCTTTGTCAGATGAGTAGATTGCAAAAATTTTTTCCCATACTGTTGATTGTCAGTTCACACTAATGATTGTTTATTTTGCCATGCAGAAGCTCTTAAGGTTAATTAGATCCCATTTCTCTATTTTGGCTTTGTTGCCAATGCTTTTGGTGTTTTAGTTATGAAGTCCTTGCCTATGCCTATGTCCTAAATGGTTTTTGTCTAGGTTTTCTTCTAGAGTTTTGATGCTATTAGGTCTTACATTTAAGTCTTTAATCCATCTGGAGTTAATTTTAGTGTCAGGTGTCAGGAAGGGGTACAGTTTCTGCTTTCTGCACATGGCTAGCCAGTTTTCCCAACACCATTTATTAAACAGGGAATCCTTTCCCCATTGCTTGTTTTTGTCAGGTTTGTCAAAGATCAGATGGTTATAGATGTGTGGTGTTGCCTCTGAAGCCTCTGTTCTTGTCCATTGGTCTATATCTCTGTTTTGGTACCAGTACCATGCTGTTTTGATTACTGTAGGCTTATAGTATAGTTTGAAGTCAGGTAGCATGATGCCTCCAGCTTTGTTTTTTTTGTTGTTTTATTTTTTGGTTCTTTTTTTTTTTTTTTTTTTTTTTTTTAATCAGGATTGTCTTGGCTATGTGGGCTCTCTTTTGGTTCCATATGAAGTTTAAGGTGGTTTTTTCCACTTCTGTGAAGAGGGTCATAGGTAGCTTGATGAGGATAGCATTTAATCGATAAATTATTTTGGGAAGTATGGTCATTTTCACAATACTGATTTTTCTAACCATGAGCATGGAATGTTTTTCCATCTATTTCTGTCCTCTCTTATTTACAAAAAAAAAAAAAGTAATGGCAAAAACTGCAATTACTTTTGTACCAACCTAATATTAGCGTTTCTGTGACATGCTTTTTTAAACTTCTGCTTCAAAGAACAAGTATAGAGGTGTTTCTATAAACTAACATGAAACCCTAATTTTTGTTTTTGAAATTTATTGTAACCAACACATAAAAGATGAAAAAAATGGGTTTTCTAATTTTAGATTTACACATAGTTAACTTTCATCCACATTATAACAATCAGTAGGGCAGCATATAGTACTGTCCTGAAAGTGAATATGTTATTATGTGAAAATTCTGAACTTTTTCAAAAATTTTCCACAGAATTTAAAACTCAGCCTGCTGCAATTTCAAATATTCCTGCTATACACCTCAGATGAGTCTTTTTTTATTGTCCACAGAGTTAGTGCTTGAATACTTCCAACCCAAGAACAAAAATTAAAACACCACCATAGAGACAGGCTTTATAAATGCTTTCAGTGAGAATATAGAAATTTAATCAAAACAGCCCTTATCTAATAAGCACCTTCTGTTTCATTCACTGTGGGTAATCAGGGTGAGTGTGACTGTTGACAGCTGGGTTCTCCATAGTCGGTTATGCAGTTCAGTTCTGCTGTTACTGTGACCACACTATAATTCACTTCACTGATAATACGTAATTAATACTTAACACAGCTTTTCTAGATAATCTACAAGTCTATAAACTGTCTACATCTTCAAACATGGGTAAAAGTGGTCTACCATATTATACTGAGGGACTTAGGTGTAACTGAAACCTTTCCTTCAAACATGTGAGATACAATTAAATTGCAATCTGTATCAGATTACTGCCATTCACAGAGCATAGCACTTTGAATACTCTAAGATATAAGATCTACAAGGGTGTTCCATAAATGTTAAGTTAGATATAGAATTTGATCAAATTCCTAATACTCATAAGGAATTCTCAAACAGAAAAACACTATTCTAGACCCTTAAAGTGACCAGCAGAGAGTTTTCCAAAATAAGGTGCAAGTACAACACATCCCAGTGCTTCTTTATTGCCCAACAAACTACAAGGTTATAGATTAATC